AGGATGGCCCTGGGCACGTATTTCCCACCTGCAAGGGGAAAAGAACCCAAAATCAGGGAAAACGACCCCAAAAACGGGGAAAAGAACCCAAAATCAGGGAAAACGACCCCAAAAATGGGGAAAAGAACCCAAAATCAGGGAAAATAACCCCAAAAACGGGGAAAAGAACCCAAAATCAGGGAAAACGACCCCAAAATCAGGGAAAAGGACCCCAAAAACGGGGAAAAGAACCCAAAATCAGGGAAAACGACCCCGAAAACGGGGAAAAGGACCCCAAAAATGGGGAAAAGGACCCCAAAAACGGGGAAAAGGACCCCGAAAATGGGGAGAATGAGCCCAAAAATGGGGGAAAACAGTCCCAAAATCGGGGAAAAGAACCCAAAATCAGGTTAAACGACCCCAAAATCAGGGAAAAGGACCCCGAAATTGGGGAAAAGGACCCCAAAAACGGGGAAAAGAACGTCAAAATCAGGGAAAACGACCCCAAAATCGGGGAAAAGAACCCAAAATCAGGGAAACCGACTCCGAAAACGGGGGAAAGGACCCCAAAATCAGGGAAAACGACCCCAAAAATGGGGGAAAACAGTCCCAAAATCGGGGAAAAGAACCCAAAATCAGGGAAAAGAACCCCGAAAACGGGGAAAAGGACCCCAAAATCAGGGAAAACGACCCCAAAAATGGGGAAATGACCCCAAAAATGGGGAAATGGACCCCGGAAATGGGGAAAACAGTCCCAAAATCGGGGAAAAGAACCCAAAATCAGGGAAAAGGACCCCGAAAACGGGGAAAAGGACCCCAAAAATGGGGAGAATGACCCCAAAAAGAGGGAGAATGAGCCCAAAAATGGGGAAATGACCCCAAAAATGGGGAAATTAACCCCAAAAATGGGGAAAATAATCCCAAAAATGGGGAAAATAATCCCAAAAATGGGGAAAATAATCCCAAAAATGAGGAAATGACCCCAAAAATGGGGAAATTACCCCAAAAATGGGGAAAATAATCCTAAAAATGGGGAGATGACCCCAAAAACGGGGAAATGACCCCAAAATTGGGGAAAAGGACCTCGGAAATGGGGAAAAAGACCCCAAAAATGGGGAAATGACCCCAAAAATGAGGCAATTACCCCAAAAATGGGAAAATTACCCCAAAAATGGGGAAAATAATCCCAAAAATGGGGAAAACAACCCCAAAATCGGGGAAAAGGACCCCAAAAATGGGAAAATTACCCCCAAAATGGGGAAAATAATCCCAAAAATGGGGAAATGAACCCAAAAATGAGGAAATGACCCCAAAAATGGGGAAAAGACACCAAAAATGGGAAAATTACCCCAAAAATGGGGAAAATAATCCTAAAAATGGGGAAACGACCCCAAAAATGGGGAAAATACCCCAAAAATGGGGAAAATAATCCTAAAAATGGGGAAACGACCCCAAAAATGAGGAAATGACCCCAAAAATGAGAAAAATGACCCCAAAAATGGGGAAATGACCCCAAAAATGGGGAAAAAGACCCCAAAAATGAGGAAATGACCCAAAAATGGGGAAATGACTCCAAAAATGGGGAAATGACCCCAAAATGGAGAAAACAACCCCAAAAATGGGGAAATGACCCCAAAATGGAGAAAACAACCCCAAAAATGGGGAAAACAGCCCCAAAAATGGGAAACAGCCCCAAAAATGGACAAAACCACCCCAAAAATGGGGAAAACTGCCCCAAAAATGGGAAATTTCACCCCAAAAATGGGAAATTTCACCCCAAAAATGGGAACAGGCACCCTGAAAATGGGGAAAATAATCCCAAAACCAGGAATTCACCCCAAAACCAGAGAATCATACCAAAAATGGGAGAAGTTACCCCAAAAATGGGAAATGTCACCCCAAAAGCACCCAGAACGACCCGAAAAACACCCAAATGACCCAAAAAATAGCAGAAATTACCCCAAAACAACCGGAATTACCCCAAAACCACCCAAAATCACCCAGAATTACACCAAAACCACCCAAAACAGCCCCAAAATCACCCAAAAACCTACCCTAAACCACTGGAATTACACCAAAACCACCCAAAACCACCCAAAATCACCCAGAATTACCCCAAAATCACCCAGAATTACCCCAAAACCACCCAAAACCACCCAGAATTACACCAAAACCACCCAAAATCACCCCAAAACCACCCAAAACACCCCCAAAATCACCCAAAATCAACCCAAAAACCACCCTAAACCACGGAATTACACCAAAACCACCCAAAACAGCCCCAAAATCACCCAGAATCACCCCAAAACCTACCCTAAACCACTGGAATTACACCAAAACCACCCAAAACCACCCAAAATCACCCAGAATCAACCCAAAACCACCCAAAATCACCCAGAATTACCCCAAAATCACCCAGAATTACCCCAAAACCACCCAAAACCACCCAAAATCACCCAGAATTACCCCAAAACCACCGGAATTGCCCCAAAACCACCCAAAACCACCCAAAATCACCCAGAATCACCCAAAATCAACCCAAAAACCACCCTAAACCACTGGAATTACACCAAAACCACCCAAAACCACCCAAAATCAGCCAGAATTACACCAAAACCACCCAAAACAGCCCCAAAATCAACCCAAAACCTACCCTAAACCACTGGAATTACACCAAAACCACCCAAAACCACCCAAAATCACCCAGAATCAACCCAAAACCACCCAAAATCACCCAGAATTACCCCAAAATCACCCAGAATTACCCCAAAACCACCCAAAACCACCCAAAATCACCCAGAATTACCCCAAAACCACCGGAATTGCCCCAAAACCACCCAAAACCACCCAAAACCACTGGAATTACACCAAAACCACCCAAAACCACCCTAAAATCACCCAGAATTACCCCGAAACCACCCAAAACCACCCAGAATTACCCCAAAACCACCTAAAACAGCCCCAAAATCACTGGAATTACCCCAAAACCACCCAAAATCAACCCAAAACCACTGGAATTACACCAAAACCACCCAAAATCACCCAGAATTACCCCAAAACCACCCAAAATCACCCAAAAGCACTGGAATCACCCCAAAACCACCCAAAATCACCCCAAAACCACCCAGAATCACCCCAACACCACCTTAAACCACTGGAATTACACCAAAACCACCCAAAACCACCCAAAATCACCCAGAATCACCCCAAAACCACCCAAAATCACCCAGAATTACCCCAAAACCACCGGAATTGCCCCAAAACCACCCAAAACCACCCAAAATCACCCAGAATCACCCCAAAACCACCCAAAATCACCCAGAATTACCCCAAAACCACCGGAATTCCCCAAAACCACCCAAAACCACCCCAAAACCACCCAAAACAGCCCCAAAATCACCCAAAATCACCCAGAATCAACCCAAAACCTACCCTAAACCACTGGAATTACCCCAAAACCACTGGAATTGCCCCAAAACCACCCAACACGGGGACAGAGAGGTGACAATGGACAGGTGACAATGGTCAGGGACAGGTGACAATGGACAGGGGACAATGGACAGGTGACAATGGACAGGTGACAATGGACAGGTGACAATGGACAAGGACAATGGACAGGTGACAGGGAACAATGGACAGGTGACAATGGACAGGTGACAGGTGACAATGGACAGGTGACAATGGACAGGGACAGGTGACAATGGACAGGGGACAGGGAACAATGGACAGGTGACAATGGACAGGGACAGGTGACAATGGACAGGTGACAATGGACAGGTGACAATGGACAGGTGACAGGGAACAATGGACAGGTGACAATGGACAGGGGACAATGGACAGGTGACAAGTGACAATGGACAGGTGACAATGGCAGGGGACAATGGACAGGTGACAGGGAACAATGGACAGGTGACAATGGACAGGTGACAAGGGACAGGTGACAATGGACAGGTGACAATGGCAGGGGACAATGGACACGGACAATAGACAGCTAGCCGCAGATGTCCCCAGCTATGTCCCAGGTGTGTTCCCAGGTGTCCCCAGTGTCCAAAGGTGTCCCCAGTGTCCCAGCTGTCCCCAGCTGTCCCCAATGTTCCCAGCTGTCCCCAATGTTCCCATCTGTCCCCAGCTGTCCCCAGTGTCCCAGCTGTCCCCAGCTGTCCCCAGCTGTCCCCAATGTTCCCATCTGTCCCCAGCTGTCCCCAATGTTCCCATCTGTCCCCAGCNAGAAAGGCCCAAAATTACCCAAAACCTCCCAGGAACTCCAGATGTGGCCCCAAAGCCGGATCCAGATGTGGCCGGCCCCAAAATCCGGTGCCAGGTGGAGAGTGACACCGATGTGGAGGAGGATCCAGATGTGCAGCCCCCAGAAAGGTTCAAAATGACCCAAAACCTGCCAGAGACGCCAGATGTGGCCCCAAAGCCAAATCCAGATGTGGAGCCCCCCAAAATCTGGTGCCGGGTGGAGAGCGACACAGATGTGGAGGAGGATCCAGATGTGGAGCCCCCTAAAATGACCCAGAAGGTGCCCGAGACGCCAGATGTGGCTGTGGATCCAGATGTGGAGTCCCCAAAAAGGCTCAAAATTACCCAGAATGTCCTGGAAACTCCAGATGTGGCCCCAAAGCCGGATCCAGATGTGGAGCCCCCCAAAATCCCATGTCGGGTGGAGAGCGACACGGACGTGGAGGAGGATCCAGATGTGGAGCCCCCAAAAAGGCCGAAAATGACCCAAGACCTCCCAGAAACTCCAGATGTGGAGGAGGATCCAGATGTGGAGCCCCTCAAAATCTGGTGCCAGGTGGAGAGCGACACAGATGTGGAGGAGGATCCAGATGTGGAGCCCCCAGAAAGGCCCAAAATTACCCAAAACCTCCCAGGAACTCCAGATGTGGCCCCAAAGCCGGATCCAGATGTGGCCGGCCCCAAAATCTGGTGCCGGGTGGAGAGCGACACGGATGTAGAGGGGGAGGATCCAGATGTGGAGCCCCCGAAAAGGCTCAGAATGACCCAAAATGTCCCGGAAACTCCAGATGTGGCTGCGGATCCAGATGTGGAGCCCCTAAAAAGGTTCAAAATGACCCAAAATGTCCCGGAAACTCCAGATGTGGCCGCGGATCCAGATGTTGTCAGCTCCAAAATCTGGTGCCGGGTGGAGAGTGACACGGACGTGGAGGGGGAGGATCCAGATGTGGAGTCCCCAGAAAGGCTCAGAGTGACCCAAAAGGTCCCGGAAACTCCAGATGTGGCCGCGGATCCAGATGTGGAGCCCCCCAAAATGTGGTGCCAGGTGGAGAGTGACACAGATGTGGAGGAGGATCCAGATGTGGAGCCCCCAAAAAGGCCGAAAATGACCCAAAACCTCCTGGAAACTCCAGATGTGGCCACAGATCCAGATGTGGAGCCCCTCAGGAATACCCAAGACCTCCCAGGAACTCCAGATGTGGCCCCAAAGCCGGATCCAGATGTGGCCGGCCCCAAAATCTGGTGCCGGGTGGAGAGCGACACGGATATAGAGGGGGAGGATCCAGATGTGGAGCCCCCGAAAAGGCTCAGAATGACCCAAAATGTCCCGGAAACTCCAGATGTGGCCGCGGATCCAGATGTTGTCAGCTCCAAAATCTGGTGCCGGGTGGAGAGTGACACGGACGTGGAGGGGGAGGATCCAGATGTGGAGTCCCCAGAAAGGCTCAGAGTGACCCAAAAGGTGCCCGAGACGCCAGATGTGGCCGCGGATCCAGATGTGGAGCCCCCCAAAATCTGGTGCCGGGTGGAGAGCGACACAGATGTGGAGGAGGATCCAGATGTGGAGCCCCCTAAAATGACCCAGAAGGTGCCCGAGACGCCAGATGTGGCTGTGGATCCAGATGTGGAGTCCCCAAAAAGGCTCAAAATTACCCAGAATGTCCTGGAAACTCCAGATGTGGCCCCAAAGCCGGATCCAGATGTGGAGCCCCCCAAAATCCCATGTCGGGTGGAGAGCGACACGGACGTGGAGGAGGATCCAGATGTGGAGCCCCCAAAAAGGCCGAAAATGACCCAA